GTTTCTTCTGCAGACAATCTAACATATATTGCTTAAAGGGGCTAATAATATTGAGCTATTAAAATAGGTTTCAAAATATTCAAACCTGCTTTTATTCTAGCTGAAATAAAACAAATAAGCCTTTCTCCAGAAGAAAAAAATATTATAGAAAATACTGTATAAAAAAACCCCTCTGTTAAATATAATTTGGGAAATATTTATATATAAAAATAAATTCACTGGAGGATGAATAATTTTGACTTCAGCTGATAATCGTTTTGAATGATCGTGATCATGATTATTTTAGTCATGATTGTAATTATGATTTTTCCCATAATCGAGCAGCCCTAGTTGCTATTAGGGTTGAGCGATGTAGACCACTTTGACATTGTACGGTTTATAAATTAATTCATAACAATTAAGTAATTAATAATTAATTTATTTATTGATAACAAATGAATTATTTGTAGCCTACCGTTTCAGCTACCTGACCCGCATGGGCTTTGTTTTGCCCATAACCAAATCATACACAAATAAAGATTTTTAACAATTTTATACACACAAATTACCACCTGTCAATCACTTTTTTTTTCTGCGTGACTCTGGCGTGAATAGGCAGAGTGATCTGCATCGTTATAATGGCGTTGACAAACTTGGTTGGTAAAAAAGGTGCACAACGAACAGCTTTTGACTACACAAGTTCGAATCCCGTTGATGACATGTAAATTATAATTATTTTTTAGATTAATTTTGCTTATATACTGTTCTGCAACACAGACAATAAAATAAATAGTGTTTACAATGACACTGACACCAAGTAATAAGAATCCTCGTTTGGTATGGGTATGTTTTGTTGCTGTGAAAAAGTGATGAATCTGCCAATCTGCAAACGTGAATAGCTTACATCTAGCAGGGCTCGAAATTAACCTTTTTGCTTGGTAGCACCGGTGCTCCTAACTTTAAAAATTTAGGCGCATCAGCCAAAATTTAGTCGCACCCACCAATTATGAGCACCGTTACTACAAGTTTTATACAAACATATTGATTGTATTTGAAATCAACACTAATCAAACTAACAAACAAAAAAAATCATATATACCGTTATATGCAAGCGTGAGGGAAAATATGTCATGGAAAACAAAATCTGTCAAGTGTTATGTTATCTTCATTCTCATCTTCAGCGCTTTACAATTTTTCGCGGTAGTAGCTCTCTGTCATCCGTAGCCAGAAGGCACTTAGTGATTGACAGCTGATATTAATCAATCATTCGCGTTCAGTGCTAGAGCAGTGGGCCAATAAGAAGAGCGCAAAGGCGGGGCAAGCATTACGGACTTGGATTTGTTTACTGCAGCAAGTTGACATGACAACTGTTTTAAACCATTCCCGAGCGCTGCGTTTCACGTTTCATGTGCAGACAAAAAGCTTAGAGATGCATTCTGCGTGAATGTCTCCCGAACCCGCGCATGTGCTAAACATTTTGCAGTAAAAATTGGTCGCACACTACAATTTTAAACACTCGCAGAAATGCTCCCAAATATATTTCAAGGTCGCATAGATAAAATTTCGGGCACATATGCGACCAAAATGGTCGCAATTTCGAGCCCTGTCTGGAAACGGTCACCAGTTAACACTCTTCAGTCACCAGTTAAACCATTACACCAGTCCCCATCTGCATTTTGTGAAATAGATCTATAAAGCGCAGTGTCCCGTGAAGGAACCCCAGATGGGACTTTCGTTTTGTGTTTACCTTATGATTAAAGATGTTGCATGTCCGCTGGTTCCCTCCTCTGAATTAACAAGTTTTAGCTATTTTTAGCGTACAGAAAAAAGAAACAACCACAAAGAAACTTGACACAGCAGAACATAAAAACCTACTGCCAGCTAGTGTTTTGGAAGTGTTATTGCAGAGCAACACAAACTGCGCAGAAGTTTAAATGCATGACTACGCGCAAGGCACCATGGGTCAAGACGATCACCCAATGCAGATGTATAAATCAGCCTTAAGCCCCAATTTACAAGCAATATCAGTACTGCTATTTTGCTATAGTAAATATACAGAGTTTTTAATGCAAATATAGTCATGAATCAGCTCAGATCTGCTTTATAAATGTCATGACAATGCATTTCTGACTATTCTACAGGCACTCTGGATTCAGTGCCATGTACTGTACAAAAAGAGAGATCGGCCTCTGCTGCCGTTCGACAGGTTCCGCTCACAAACAGAGGTGTAAAAGCACAGCATAATAGATGAGCATTCATATCAGTGGCCTGCTTTCTGTCTCCGCATCTGAAATAGCAGGACGGTTGTGACTCATGCGTCTCTCTGTCACACTGTCACAAGTGCAGAACCTGTTAGCCGATGGATTCTAGAGTTAATGTGAAGACGGACGGAGCCCCTGGAGCAAAGTGAACATGTGGAGGACTTGCTAACATTACTGTGATAACCCTGAACACATATCCAAGAGACTCGGATATAGATGGTAGCTGTTAAAGCCAGATACAAATGTTGGTGTCACAGTTAATTGAAATTGATATTGATCTTTTGCACTGTGCTTTTTTTTACTGGAGATTTTTTTGAGCACACTGCCTGTTCTGTATAGTGTTCGGATGAACAGTTGAAGTGATTTTTTTTTTTCTTTTTTGAATATTTCCCAAATGATGTTTAACAGTGCAAGGAAATGTTCACAGTATGTCTGATAATATTTTTTCTTCTGGTGAAAGTCTTATTTGTTTTATTTCGGCTACAATAAAAGCAGTTTTATTAATAATATTGCCATTTTAGGGCATATTAAAATGTTTATAAGTGTTTAAAAATCTTCTTTCTGTAAAAATAAACAGGGGCTCTAATAGTTCTGACTTCAACTGTTCAATTGTGAATATAAATATTATATATATATATATATATATATATATATATATATATATATATATATATATATATATATATATATATATATAATTGTAATGTATATTTGACATAAATTATCAATTATTCTGTATTTATATTATAAAACGATTAAAATAAATTTATATATGATCTGAAATGGAATATTCTGAATGCACTTGGCCAAAAAAACTAAACTGAAAATGCTTTATAATATTTTTTATTTAAAAATAATAATAATAAAAAAATAAACTTACTTTATAAGACATTTGAAATATAGCTCAATAACTTATAAGTAATTACACTCGCTCATTTAACAAAGGCCAATAAATTAACCACATATTATTAACCGTAAAAGAGTCGTAATGCATGATTTTATCAGCATTGGCATGACAGCATAGTAGCACTATTGTAAGCAATAGTAGCAAGTGTAGAACATAGAAATGTCTTGTTGTCATGTTATTTTAACAGACTTTACTTTTGAGCATGTGTGTATAGCATATTGATTACTATGTGTGTACATGAGAAGAATATCCACTGAGTGAAATATTGAGCTATTTTGAACTTTGGCAGTGAAGCGTGCATAAGTAACAACTGGAGTGAAACCAGCAGGCTGAATATTGCAGTGCAGTGCAGTGCAGGATAGTTCAATTTTGGCTCATATTATTTGCCAAAAAAATTCCTTTTTTTTTCAGTAGCCAGAATTTGGTGCACTCCTAGTCATTTTTGTATTAATAATCTTATTTTCATGTAAATAAAGTTATGTATTATTATATTTTCCAGTGGTAAGAGACTTTGGAAGAACATCAATTTTTTTACAGTAATGTGCACACATGCGTTGAATAATTTCTATTATGTCCAGGTTTACAGTTCCAGTTCTGTATAAATGCTGTGCATTTATTACTCGCCTCCTATTATATTGTTGAAAGGTCCAAAGTATTTTATTTGCTGGTTGTCACAGTTGCTACATGTTTTATTGCGGGGCGAAATCATACTGTTACAAAATGTGACAAACAACCGTGTACATATTTGGTCAAATAAGACAATATTGCATTATTAATCAAATAATTGCAGCTGTGCTATGCATAAGAGACCTCATAAACACTGAAGATCGTTCCAACTCCAAAATGTTGAATAGTAATGTATATTTCATACATGTGCCCTCTGACTGATTGTCATAGCGATATTTTTGACCAATATGTCAATTTTGTCCTGCATGTAAATGCATTAAAATCTGCTTTCCGTTGATTTCTTGCACCTGTGTGATATGTGACATCCAGACAGAGTAAACATTTAACAGTAAGATAGGAGGAAATATACAGTAAACAAACAGAAAAGACAAAAGCTAATTAAATAATGTGTAATAAAATGAAATGACGCTGGGAAAAATGTTGAACACATGAAGAAAGAAAGGAGTAGGTTGGCAGTGAAAGCTCAGACAGCAGCTGAAATCTCTCAGTAGTTCTACAGCAACCCTCTGCCCTTCCTCTTTGTAAATTAGCTGCTTCAGTCCCACATCTACATTAGCAGGATGATGCAGATGAAACCAGAGTGGACTTTTTAGCAAGCCAATGATCAAAAACGACACCAAGGGCACTCTCAAATGTTTTTTAGAGAAAGAAAATCAAGCTGTAGAATGGCCCAGCCAATCACCTGACCTGAATCCAATAGAGAATACAAAATAAAGATCAGATTTGATAGACGAGACCCACAGAAATCAAGATTTTTACACTCTGTTGAAGTCTGTGAAAATAAACCACACCTGAGCGATGCATGTGACTTCATTCTCCATATGAGAGGTGTCTTTAAGCTGCCATCACTAAAAAAAGCCTTTTATATATAAATTTAAATACGCTTCAGTAGTTCAGTACTTTCTCAGTGTCATTTCATTGCTATTACACAACAAAATTTTCAGATTTTTGTTTTGCTTTCTTTTTATGTTTGTATTGTATGGGTTTTTACCAAAATCTGGTTCAATTCCATGTCAACAGCTGCTTTACAAATATTTATTCCCAGGACGAAAACATGACGTCTTCAATACTTATTTTCCCACTGTATACCTCTGTTGGGAGATTTGAATAAACAGTTTAAATAAAAGTCTGGTGTGTCAGATGAAGAGAAGACTCAGAGTCGAAGATGCAATTAAAAATGAAAAATTTACTGAAGATAGTTTGCAGTTCTATGGCAGAAGGGCTTCACACTCGGATGAGCTCGCAGGCCGATCTGACTTACAATCACAGCAATCGAACAATTATACTCTTTACACAAGTCCAGAAAAGGTGGGATCCAGGTAAACAGTTCTCATTGGTTACAACAGAAATAGACAATTCTAAATACATGCGTCAAAGAAACATAGTATCTACTTCCAGATATGGATGGCCTTAGTGTGTGCGTCAAAGAAAGCCTTGTATTTGTCTCCAGATATGGATGGCGACCTGATGCCTAGAGGTGAGGTCGCCCTAAGTTATTACGAGCTGATATCCGACCTGTAGAAAGCTAAACCAGGAAAACAATAGACACAAACGACCATCTGTGCTAAAGACTCAAGGATGTTTCTTGTACGTTCAGCTGTGTTATCAGGCTGGTTCAAGACTGTTTCCATCAACAGTCTGCAACAATATCTTGGCTACACACAGTCTGGAACACACAAAAAGGAATTACATTACTATTAATTATACATAAAAACAGATCAATCAAACAGCTATAAAATTATAAGCAATATATATTAGGACAATGAAACAGGTGTCTTCTTCTCCTCTGTATTGGACCTCCAATCATAGGAACAGATAGAGAGAGAGAGAGAGAGAGAGAGGTCTCCATGACCTATGACCTGGTTTGTGTGTCTCCTGAAAACAAAGTTAAAATAGACAGGCAAAAAGAGAAACAAGGACACAGAACATTCTTGCAGTAAGCAGTTTTAACTTATTCATTAGTCAAATCAATTCAAGTTAAATACTCATTCAGATAATCAATTAAATATATATATAAAAAGAGATGAGAAACAGGATATTTAATAAAAAGGATAAACGCTGAATAAATGTTCATGGATTGGAAGGTAGAACTCCAACTCCTTCACCTCAAATTCAGATGCTTTTTTTTGACCCAAAAGAATTGTAAGAATGTGCAAGTCAAGTCTTATCAACTTGATGTCCTTCCGTTGCAAGTAACAACCAAGACAACTGGTGATCTCAGTAAGCTGATTGCTTTTTAAGTTATCAGCATATTGGCATGCATTTAAACATGCTGTCTGTCAGTACATACCCTTACCAGCTTTACATAAGCCAGCCATTGAAATTGACTTGCACAGAATCACAGGAAGCATGTTTTTCTCTCAGGTGGCAGCACAGCGTCTGTCTCCGTCTCCCTCACAGAGGTCAGGGTGGTCTCGGTTTGTTACAGCGTTCACAGCAGCGGGAAGCATCGCAAGGTGAAGACACATCGACTGTCATTGCGCTGAGCGGAAGAGAGAGAGACAGCGGGGAAAGAGGGAGGCAGGCGGGGAGGGCTAGAGAAAGAGAAACACACACAGAGAGAGAAAGAGAGAGAGAGAAAAGCTGCGTTCTCCGGCTCGTTCACACAGGCTGTTGACGGATGAGCCGTCGGTCGAGGCTGAGAGCTCGGCAGCTTGTGTCAAGCTGAGGGGAGAGTGGAACATGAACATAATGAGAACCTTCCCTCGCTTGCTTTCAGATACCGGCCAGAAGAAGACGCCGGAGAAGAAGGATGGAAGACGGATGTCGTTCCAGAGACCGAAGGGCACCATCGAGTATTCCGTAAGTGGAAACATCAAGCTCCTTTCCTTGCATGTGCTGTTTGTTTTGCAGGATCTCATCCCAAACACCCGGTGATGATTTTGTATTTTGTTCCCCCCCCCCCCCCCCCCCCACATGTAGCTGCGAGAGGTTGTGTTTACATCAGGCTGCCATGCGTATGTCCTCTACGCTTATCAACATGCATTCCGACAGACTACTGCTGAATGACCTTGCTTTCTGCGTTTGCATTTCTATTGATTTAGCGTGCGCGTGTGCTGAGTGAGTGAGTGGGCGAGCGAGCGAGAGAGAGACGGTGTGAGCTTCGATTGTCTGTCTTAACAGCTTGTTGTGTTCTTGAAATGACCCTCAAATTCCAGCTGCGGGCAGAGCGTTTCTCTCTCGTCTCTCTCCCTAGTAACAGAGGAGCGTGTGGGTTGAGGCGAGCTCTGGAGTTCTGCCTGGAAGTGGAAAGAAACTGCTGGCGGCTTGAGCTGTCATTTAGCCAGGAGATAGGATTCACACCCCTTCCAAAATAAGGGGCTGGTGCTCATCCTGTTGTTGCATACCTGTGCATACTTGTAAGCAAAGATGGTGACCTAGTCAGTCAGTGTAAACAAGGTCCGTTTCTGACAGACTCTACATATGACTGTAGGGTCTGTCAGTAAGCGTCCTTGTTTACACTGACTGACTAGGTCATTGTCTTACAAGTTCTGAAAAACATTTTAGTGGCCAAAGTAGGATGGTGTTACGTCAACTAATCATGGTTACTTGGATTAGATACTATGGTGGCTCAGTGGTTAGCACTGTCACCTCACAGCAAGAAGGTCGCTGGTTTGAGCCCTGACCAGGCCAGTTGGCATTTCTGTGTGGAGTTTGCATGTTCTCTCCGTGTTTGCGTGGGTTCCCTCCGGGTGCTCTGGTTTCAACCACAGTCCAAAGACATGCGCTATAGGTGAGTTGAATAAACTTAAATGGCTATAGTGAATGAGTATGTGAATGAATGTGTATGGGAGTTTTCCAGTATTGGGTTGCAGCTGGAAGGGCATCCGCAGCATAAAACAAATGCTGGTGTAGTTGGTGGTTCATTCCGCTGTGGCGGCCTCTGAAATAGAGACTAAGCTTAGGAAAAAAAAATGAATGAATAATCAGTGCATTTAAATAGGTGCAAAGTTTTGCTTTGCTGAAGTGTCAGAAACGCTCCATGTTGTAAACATGCTGTTAATACTGTTAATAAAAATAGTCTAATAAAATATATGAACCAGAATAAATGTTTGTTAATTAATATGTGCATTTATGCAACACATACTTCAGAATATTGCAAAAATAGGTGTTTATATATTAATTTGACAGTATGTTGGATGGCTGTTCCATGAACAGTGTGAGGACTGAGCAACATCTCCAGGTACTTTCCTTAAGAACTGAATTTTTAACGACAAAAGTCTTGTCGTTGATCCCAATTGTAAGAGCAACAAATAAAAACTTGACTTCTAGTTAATCATTTGGAAAAGTGGCAGAAGGTAGATGTTTCAGATGAATCATCTCTTGAACTAAATCCCAATCATCACAAATACTGCAGAAGACCTATTGGAACCTGCGTGAATCCAAGATTCTCAGAGAAATCAGTCAAGTTTGCTGAAGGAAAAATCATGGTTTGGGGTTACAATAAGTATGGGGGCGTGCGAGAGATCTGCAAAGTGGATCAACATCGACAGCCTAATGCTGCGTTCACACCAGACGCTGAGAAAGCATCAAGCTCGAGTGATTTACATGTTAAGTCAATGCAAAGACGGGAATATGCATCCTGCGGTGCGATATGCGGGAATAAGGCTGCGCGAATGACTCAACGTGAGTTGAGCGTTTTGCGCCATTGACAAGTTCGAAAATCTGAACTTCGGCGGACATTCGGGCCATATTTACCAAACAGGAGCTTGCTCTTGTGTGTGTGTGTGTGTGTGTGTGTGTGTGGTGTGGGGCGTGATTATGACTAAGCGCCTGTTGTTGGTGTCCCTGGGGGAAAATCCTCCTGCCAACACTAACGATAGTTCATCAAACTGGGCTCGGCTCAGTCAGAAGCACCGCTGAAAGCCTCCATCATCCAGCTTAAGTTTCTGGAGGAGTTTAAAAACTCACAGAGCTGGGTGCACCTCTGAATGGATCTAGTGGACTCAGACACGGCTCCAAATGAATCGATGCTGTTATTCAGTCTTCGTAAAGCACATAAACACAGCTCTTCTCTCAATAAAATTCATGTTTGCCATTTAGCAACGTAGCTAGAGTCACCGGGCAGACAGAAGTCCAGCCCAACACGCGAATCCGCGTCTGTTGTGAAGTGAGTTTGATGTGCAAATGAAGTAAACTTAAAATGTTCACGCGTCTATTTAAGCTTGAATAGCGTGATTTATCCATGCGTTCCGCATCTGGTGTTAACACAGCTTGAGGTATCAAAATATTTGTGTTGCCCATTATATTACAAACCCCAGGAGAGGGCAAATTCTTCAGCAGAATAGCGCTCCTTCTCATGCTTCAGCCTCCACATCAAAATTCCTGAAAGTAAAGAAGATCAATATGCTCCATGATTGGCCAGCAAAGACTTCAGACACGAACATTATTGAGCATGTCTGGGGTAAGATGGAGGCATTGAAGATGAATCCAAGGGATCTTGATGAACTCTGGGAGTCCTGCATTAACGCTTTCTTTGCCATTTCAGTTAGACAAATAGAATTAAAATTTACTCATTGTTTAAATATACATACACTTTTTAGTTTTAAACGAGACTTTTGTTTCACAATGCTGAATATTTTACTTTAAAAAATTTTTAGATTTTTTTTGTTAATATGTACAATTATTTGCTATTTTAGTACTTTTTTTAAATGCAATTTTTTTTTTTTTTTCGTGAAATCAGGCTTGATTTTCAGCCGTCCTGTTATTTTAAATGCTGATTTGATGCTCAAAAACAAAACGGATATACACAGAGAAAAAATACTTCCTAGAATTTTTTGAATGCATTTTGTTTTCAGATTTCTCTAATGAATGGAAATCATTTGTAGCATTCTCATGTTCCACATTCTGTCAGTATGCTAATGAAACAAAATGATACAAAAGAAGCGAAAAAACAAATCCAAACTAGCTAGTTGTTGGACTACTTGTAGATTAGTCAGCTATTGTAACAAATCCATAATAAATCACTTCCACATATTTTTTAAATGACAAATGGCTTTCAGTGCTGCTAAATTAAAAAAAATCTGATCAGATCTTCAGCATGAAATTGGAACAATAATAAAACTGTTCAGACTGACTGGCACAAGCACCCTATCAGTGGAAAAAGGAGCATCTGACTGCGCTCATGGCTGGCATCAGACATGGAATGGGATGCTTGTGTAGTTGACGTGCTCGGCTGACTCTGCTTCTGTCGCACTTCTGCTTCCAGACACTTCTGCTCTCCCCTCGGATCTGTGCAGGTGTCTGACACCCATCTCCCTCCACAACGCGATGTAGATCCGTCTCTGTCGGCCCAAGTGATTGACAGGGCCTTTGTTTTCCTCTGAAGAGCGTGAAAAGTGTGCAAGACGACAGCAGGGCATTTGTCACAGGGCATAAACAGTATGTCATGAGGCCATTTGTGCTTGTTGATGGGGGTTAACATGAGTGAGATGGCAGATACGGCACTCATATCTCAGTCTTCCAGCTTGCCATGCAATCTTCCCCGCTCTAAACCACGACTGCTGCAAGATGGGGAGATGGGCATGTGTTGGGAAGATGATTGGATGTGATGCATGAGCCTCGATACAAAAACTAGATCAGATTTAAAGGTGTAGTTTACATTAGCCCTCATGTTAACTGTCTTTGAACCCTTTTTTTCTGTCAACAAATATATTCACTCCCAAGGCATTTCAATTTCCTGAGACCCTTTGTTCAACTTCGGACAACAAATTAAGATATTTTAGATCATCTCACAGCTCTCTCATCCTTCAGAGATGACAAAGGTGTTATGCCTTGTTCTGACTGCATGATTTTAGCCCCGGCTTTGACTCTCAGATAGGTTTTCTCAGACAGAATTCTCAGACAAATGCCTGAAATCACAGTCAAATCAGTGGTCGTTCACGTCTATTAACTATCAAAGGGGCGATCTGAGAGAATCGCTGATGAGTCATCGACACCCGTGAGATATTTGGCATGCTAAATATCTGGACCTGTCTGCGATTTAAAATGGTGACGTGTGAATTGTGCTCTGACTGAAAATAACATCTGCGATTATCTGCAGCCAATGAGAGAGCAGCATCCACTAGTGTGGGTATCTGCAGGCCAAAGGGAGGTTGGGGGAGAAGTTCAAGGGGCTTCTTTTCAGTCTATTTGGACTTAAGAATTAGGGGGAAAACTAGTGGACAATTTTCAGGAACTCCTGTGTCTGTTTGACGTGTCCTCTGAGTAATACAACAACTGGCACAAAAAAGGAAAAAGTTTAAGAGAAATACTAAAGGCTTCTTTCTCATTATGTAGTTAATAACAAAATAAATACTGTGTGACCTTGCGTTATGTCACTTGTGTTTGGTTATGAGAGACGTGGGAGTGCGGTCCCCCTGCTCACAAATATGGATTGACAGCCACGCATCACCATATTTTCAGTTTGTTGTTTCACGTCCGCCATTTTCAGCATGTGAGTAAAAGCGATGTCACCATAGGAACACCCTTGCTCTATTTTTAGATAAGGCTCATTGGGCTCAACACAAGATCAGCATTCACCACATGATTGCTGCAATCTGAAATATTGTTAGTAACTTTAGGTAGGTTTGCAAACATGTGTACTTTTCATTCCGTCTACCTTAAACTTCAGCCGTTTGCATTTCTCGCGGTCACAGAAGCTCCCGGTGATCTTAACAAGGTGCAGCTGGA